CGACTGCTTATCAGGAACAAGTATCAGCCTAAGCAGATATACAGAGAGAGGTATATCTTAAGACACAGTGATGTATGATAAAGGAATATGTGAACATGGAGACTGCACTCTGGGGTACGGGTAGCTGATGCGGAACCACATGGCATTTACAGCAATGTCACAGCTCAGGTGATCTGTGAAAGTCAATGCTTGAATGCGACACCCTTTTTCAAAGTGTGGTTGTTTCTGAAAGTTGTGCAACGCCCTCAAGATTAGATTTGGTTTGTAAAGCCCATGAGCCGCGTGTTGGCACGCTGCTGTCGTCCTCCCTCTCCCCCATGTGTCATTTTCCCCAAGGGAATAGAAAAAGGCAAGAGTTGTCTGCGTAGGGTTAGAGCAGGGCGGGTGCCACACGTCCCAGCCTCGTGGCTAAGCAGTCTCCTCTGAGAGTGCCCTAAGAGTCAGAGACCTACTTGGAGAGGGGCAGTGCTCCTTCCTCTGGCCAGTTAAGGGATGTCCTGGTGGCCAGGCGGCCACGCATTCCGAGTACTGGCCAGGGTGGAGGCCTGGATTGCTCTGAACGCAACCCTCTGGGGAGGAGGTTGGCCCCAAGAGTCGCTGCGGGCGGGAAGGACGGGGCGCTGCCCGCAGCCCTCCCGCGCCCCCAGGGACAGTGTCACGGTTGTTCCCTTGGGACTTGGTGCCTCCGCTCTCCAGGCAACGCTACGGGGTCCCGCCAGGGCAGCGACCCTGGTGGGGCCGCTGGACGCCGCCGGTCATCGGTGCCGCTTTCAGGAAGGCATCTCCCAGGGCTGCTCCCCGGCCCTGGATCACGGGGGAAAGGAGCCCCTTGCGGATCAAACTGCTGAGCCATGGCCTGGGGCTGCGCCGGCCACACGCATCACTGTATTTTCCATCTCCTGCGACTAAAAATCCTCTCCTTGTTCATCACAGACCGGACCTCAGTGTGTTTTCTATTGCAGCTGGGTAGGGACATTAGTAACAGGGAAAAGCCCAGGAGTGCTCTGGACTTTGGAAAGGATCGATTACTTGCCGACTGCTTTCCCAGGAGAGCCCGTGATGCCTCGCTCGGGTCCACCACGTCCCTTCTTCCTTTAGAAATCTTTGTAGTAGCAGAACCCGTGTCCTGCACCCTGCAGCAACCTACGGGGCTGGCTGCCAGGCCAGAGGCGTCGGCGTGTTCTCACAGTGCAATCAGTGCTTTACAACTGCAAAAGCAGAAAACAAAACCAACCGGACTCAAGTGACAATGCAGCGACGCAGGACTCTTTGGATGGCGGCAGGATTTGCTTGAACTGGTGCCAAAGGGGCTGGTGACTACACTGTAGTATTAGTTGGCATGGGGAAGGACTTGGGTCCCTCCAATCTTTTGGCACTGAAGCCATAATCCCTGTCCAACATGACGGTACGTACAGTCCGCAGAGACCTCGGGATATCGTTCAGTCCATGTCATCCCCCTTCACACAGAATGTTGCTCATTTTTCAGAAGTGTTCACTACAGTTTAACAAAACCCCAAATCAAAACTCTTAAAACAGAATCCTTGAGGTGGACCAACCCCAAATCTGGATCCCTGGCTTTCTCTCCCTTCCCCTTCCCTCAGGTCCCCAAGGGGAGGAGGCTGAAATCATAACCCGTGCCTGGATCCGGATTTGCTAGCTTGAGTCCACCTCTCCGAAACAGCAGTGAGATACAGCCAAATCCTGACCGAATAAGCAGCACCAGAAGTAAGTTACTATATACAACTGTTAGTGAGATAGATACGTTACAGTAAACACTGAAAACATTTACAAAAAAAAAATTAAGACTTGTATTAAGATTAAAAATCTGAGAGGGTTTTTGTTTTGTTTACACTTTGACGAGTTTGCACTAGAACAGCCTCTTTACTGTAGAAAGCGCAAGAACGAAAAGAAAATGGAGCCGATCACCAAACGTTACGGATAGTGGTTGCTTTGCTCCGGTGCTGCAAGCCCCTCTCGGGATTGCTGCCGGTATTGCTACGCCAGATACCAGATCCGAGGCCACGCCGGGTAACGGGGCCACGCGGGGCTCGCTCGTGCTGGCTCCCTCGCGCTCGCTCACGCACGCCTGCGCACACGCGTATATAAACGTACAGTTTATAAATAACAGAAACACAAACCGAAGTAACAGAACTGAACTGAGCCTGGATCTCAAAACCTACCCCCAAACCTTCGCAGGGGAGGGTCACGTTTAGGTCCAGTTGTTGACAGTTGCAGGGGAAGGAGACGGGAATAGAAGGGGGGGTGGGAGGAATCTCTACCGTAACGAGACTTCGTCCTGCTTGGAATTTCTTTTCGTACTGGCTCAGGAAACTAAGCAACAACTCCAGAAGGTGTTGGCACTGGAACGTCTAAGATTTTAGTAACTCGCTGTGGAAGCGTTTAAGCGTTCCTGCTATTTCGGCAGAACAATGTATGTTCGGCAATTTGCAAGTTTGAGGTTAACCAGGAGTTTCTGACAGATCGGGGTGGGGGGAGCAGTGCCTTGGCTTGTGGTTGAGGAGAAGATTAAGATGTACTGTGCTTAGCGTCAGTACTAAACAATGGTTTTGTGGGCGTTTCTTTTTTCCAGCTCTTACGGAGAGCACTGACTGCATCCCAAAATTACTTCCATGTTTGAATGGAAACATGTTGCTGGTGGGGCGCCCGCCCCCGCGCCCTGCTAGCGTTTCCATTCCTCTATGTTACTTCTCTCTTGAAAAACTTCCGTCTCTCGCAACACAAATATTTTGGAACTGAAAAACAATCAGCTCTAAAAATACATCTCAGGGCAACAGAGGTTTAAAATAGTCTTTCTGCAGGGTTTATCATGGGTTTGACTCTGAGACAGTGGCAGATGTGAGTGTACGTACCCAACGGTTCACAGTACCCTGTATATTCCTAACCTGTCTGGGTCTTTCTCCAGTTGTAACCTTGTCAGTTTTGTGAGGTTCTTCAAAGCCATCTGTGCTAGTCTCCAAAATTCAAAGGTGACTGTACTTGTCATAAATACTTAGTTATTACTTTTCTCTGAGGAGCTCCGTTTGGGGTCTGCTGTGCGACTGCACCACTCTGCAGGCGTTGGCGGGTGTGGAGACCTCAGCGCAACACGGTCGCTCCTCCAGGGACCAAGCCGCACCGGGCTTGGCCCAGGGCTTCCAGGGAACAGAAAAACGTTTAGGAAAAAAAAGCATCTTTTAATTTTGAAAACAATCGCATGTGGAAGAATGCTGTTAGTGAGCCTTACGGCTGTGGGGCCGCATGGCAATGCAGAGCTTACTGGCAAACAGTGTCCTGCTCAGGCAGCCTAGGCAGTGTGAGGCCGGAGACGGTACCTAAGCTGTGCGGAGCTCAGTGAACATCCTAGTCCCTTTGACTGTACAGTTACGCATGGCAGGAGGAGCTAGGGCAGGCGTTGAGCAGTGTGTTAAACTTTAGTGGGAGGAATAGGCAGATGTCCTGTACACTGTACACTGTCATCCGTATCTCAGAGAAAGCTCTCTGGCTCTTGGCACGAGTGACCTGCTCTGAGAGTGGGAGTCATGAAGTACTAACTTAAAAAAAACACAAACCAACAAACACACCGTGGCGGCAGGTCAGCGGCACAATCCCCCGTTAAGGAGGTGACCCCTCCGCTGAGCACAACGAATCTGCGTGTTTCAGCAGTTCGGAAAGTCTAATCCTGGCTTATGCCTGCACAGTGCTCCTGACAAGGGGGCTTTCGGTGGTGGCTGCTGTTCTTGGTGGTTACTCCCTTATGACCATGTTTTACATTCTTCGAGCCGGTTAATTTCCATGCAGTGCTCATTCCCAATTTAAAGAGGACAGTATTCCAGAAAATGGGATCTTTTTTTTTCTAATGCATACTGTGAAAGAAAAGAAATACAATTACCGATCTTCATGGTTCTTCAGGGCTTTTTCTTGTTTCTTTGTTTGTTTTTCTCCCCAGAAACAGTAAAAATCTCTGCACAGAGCATTACATCCCCATAAGGAACCCTTTGTCAAACACGAAGCTGGCCATTTCACGCAGCCCCTCACTCCCCCTCTACCACAACGGGCACCAGGAAATCCAGCCCCTGCACCTCATTCACAGCTTGGGGACCAAGCTCAGGCAACATTCACTTTATTCTGTGGCTAGCAGTGTGTGCGTGTGGGGACAGGGCCCTGGGGCTATTGCCTGCGAAGACTCTTCCCCAGTACTTATGAGAGAGCAGAAGCTGGAGAGAGGAATCAAGTCGCCATTCACCGGGTGCCAGCTGCTCCCTCCACTTGCGTGCCACAGCCTCGGCTTGCTCTGCTCCCCTGGGCTGCCCAGGGACCCCCGGCAGCCCCAGTCACGCCCTCCTCCACTACCCTGCCATCGCGGTTCCCCAGGCAGCACCCCTGCGGCTACCGCGCCGCACAGAGTGCACCCTGCCCTTTGGCACCCTGGACTGTGCCCCCTACGCGGGCGGAGTTAATTAAATGCTAATTAGCTGCATTAACGGCCCGCGGACAGTCACCCGCTGTGAAAGTCAGTGGCCTCACAAGCGCCACAGAGGGAGGGACGGCTGGGCTCGGCTCAGGGCTTGCTTTGGGAGAGGGCTGTGCTCCGGGGGGAGGCCCGGGAGGAGGCGCCAAGCCTTGCTGCCGTCCCTCGTACGGCTGCATCCAGCAGCACACTTTAACTGGACTCACTGGGCCGCTGCCTGCTGCAGGCTCTGCCCAGCTCCCTTTATTTCGCTTACTGCGATCACAAGGACGTTATTCCTTGCTGGGGGGGGTGAGGCATATCCTTTGGGCAGTTTAGAAGGAAAAGGTTACTTTTGTTTAAACATTAAACACTGATTTAAATCCAACAGTGACAGCGATTCTCAAATATATGTTATTTCCTTATGCCACTCATCTCACACTCGATCTTTCCGTCCCCTCAATGTGCTGGCATTAGCATCTCCCACAAAGGCTCAGTCAAGCGCGCCGTCCCGCAGTAAGGCGCTGGTTTCTCGGGGGGGAGAGAGCAGCCGTTCCTGGAAGCCGCGGCTCACACCTGCTGCTGCACGGTCTCTCTGGCCAGGCCTCCTCTGCTGCGGCAGCACCCTCCGTGGGTTAACAATTACTGCTGTTTCTGAATTCTCCATTCTCTGTAATCTGCAATTTAGTTGGGTTTGTGGGGGAGATCCCATTACGTGTCTGCATGCTGTACCTCTCTTTCAGCTGAGTAAGGGCACTCATTAACCGTGCGTTGGCAGCATCCAGTGAAGCAATGCGTTTCTCCTGCAAACGAACGGGCAGAGGGGAACAGTCAGTGGAAGGGCAATGGAGACCTGTCCCGCTGCGATGCCAGGGCTTCTCCTGAGACAGCAGCCAGAGGCCTCTTGGGCCAGGACCTTTCTCTTTGGCATTCTTAGGTGTGGGGTTAAGTGCTACGCAGCATTTTTTTAAATCCGCTGCTATTAGCAGGGCCACAAATTTACCTTGCCTGTGGAATGTGAGCTAAATTTAATTTTAGCATCCTGAACAAAATGGAGATAACGTAGTTTCTCCAATTCTTCAGTTATACAGAAATTCATTGTACTCTTCGCTCTAACTGCAGCTGTTACAAAAGACGGTAAGATTCCTCTTCTAAAACCCGGTGCCCTCCCAAGGCAGTTAGGACGTCAGTGTTTAATTGATCTGTTAGTGTAAATTAATAGCTTAAATGACTTGTGCCTTCCCAGGATGGCTTTGGTGGCACCTCTCACCAATTACAGTATCGTAAGAACGGGAGCAAGAGCTGCAGCCTGCTGCTGCCACTCCTGCTCTCCATGACACTGAACAAGTCCTCATCCTTCTCCGTCCGCCATTAGCGGGAGGGAACAGTAGTTCCAACGCAGAGGGGCACAGTAGTTGGCCTGTGTGTAACTTTGAAGGTCCACATATGAACGTGTCGAACACTGTTGTACAGCCTGAGATGACAAAAAGAGAAGAGTGTAGAGTGGCTCATGGCAGGAGCCTCACACGTGACGCACAAGATGGCAGAGACAGGACAGCCTGTCAAGAGCTGCTGGCAGGCTGCGGTCCGCACCGCTCGCGCCTTACGGACAGCCCTGTACCTGCCAGGCTTTGCCGGAGTGCCGAAGGGAACCCGGTGATTTACTAGCTTTGAACAAATTACTTGACAGAAAAGCGGTGATTCTTTTTACAAAGTTACTACTGTCTCATCTCCTTTTTAATTAGCTATACAGTAAATTAGTCATGAGTAGTGACTCACAAGTGATTAATAGGGTTGTTAAGAGTAAGCCTAGAATATCCTATCACCTAGCCACAACCTGTAGGAAGGCACAGCTGCTGAGAAGATGCCGATCTCTGCCTAGACAAATTAAAAGACCATGGACTGTTATTTTCAGATTCTCTTTTCCAAGCATAGCGTTTTACACCCATCATCTGATGCTCCTTCTGCCGTTGTAATCTATAGCCATAACCGAGCTTCCCAATCCTGCAAGCCACAACCCAAAGGCTGAAAAAAACACGTTGGCTTTGCTCTGGCTGGGCTGTGTGTTCCTTATATCCAGGTCCTGCAAGCATTACTGGAACATGAAGCACCACACAAAGCTCCAGGGACCTCAGACTGAGCCAACGAGGTTATGATCCTTCCACAAGCTGACTGAATTGTGGGCATGATCCTTCCACAAACTGCCACCCCCCACATCCTCTGTGTCGCCCGCCAGGCTCCAAGGCTGGAAACAGCTGTACGAATGCGAATGCTGTGACAATAAATCGCATCCTGATGAAGTGACGTGCTCTGTCTGACTGAAGCTTGGTGCTGACTCACCCACGCGCAGTCTCGCCGTGCCTAAGCTGGCACTGCTGCATGGCAGGGAGGCTGAACGGTGGCAGATTCACCCCAAAAAGTGATACTGCCCTTGGTATTGGGACTCACCTGTGCATCAATGATCTTCTGCTTGGAATCCACAGCAGCCTGCATTTCTGCATGGTCCTTCTTTAACTCCTCCTCAACTGACATCAGTCTGGTGGCCAAACAGACAAGAAAAAAAATTACATTTGTTGGGCTCTGCTAAGCCCAAATATTAGTCTTATACATGTCTAAATCAGCATGAATGATACAGATCATGTCCTCATTTAGTCCTTGACACCAAGGAAGCAAAGGGGTGACGTACATCTCTAAAGCACACAGGAAGAGATGTGAAACACCAGAGAAGCTAGTCTAGAGATGGAACTGGCCTCACACAGCAGCCCCCATCATCCATACCAAGTCAAACCATCTCATCTGAAATTGCGATGCTGAGGCACAAGCTGAGACGCTCCCAGGACCCGCAGTTGTACATTCAAGCACAAGGAGATGCACGGTCGTTGGCACTACCTCTTCTTACACACAAACCAATAGTTTAGAACCAGTCTTTCTTCTGGCTCTCTCTCTTCTCTACAGACCTCCACAGCAGACTGTTCCAAAGCTTAAGCGATACAGAACAGTGAAGGCTGACCCATTCATGAGGGCTGACTGAAAGCACTAAGTTGGCTTGGCTCAGGTAAAGGTGAAGCTAGCTGCACTGGAAGTGTCTGTGCTCTGGACAAATGTAAACACCACATCACACTGGGTAGGAGAAAGGGATTTATAGCTAGGAGTAATGGGATGGTGATGAGATCCTTAACTAAACATCAGGAAAAGAACATTTTGATCATTACATCCATTGCTTATGAATAGAAGAGCAAGCCTGCAAGACCCTCCAAGAACTGGGGTGGGCTGCCAGCTCTCCCCTCCCCAAATTTTGCCTTTGTGAATCAGGAAAATGTCAGGGTTTTCCTTGTCCCAGGTAACACTCCTGGGGGATCCAAAGAGTCAGGGCTTCAAATCCCCTCCAGGGGCTGTAACCCAGAAGGGCAGAAAGTGAGTAAATGCAGGAAAACTCACATGGGAAACCTGCCTGCACCTCCAAAGAAACCTGATTCTCCTGAGCAGGGGTCAGCTCTAACGCCAGCCAGGCTGCCTGCATTACTGTCATCTCCAGCACTCCCACCTCCCCTGTACCTGCTGATGATGCCCTTCATCTGGATCTCCTTATCCTCCTGCTGTCTCCGGAGCCGCTCCTCGCTCTCCTCCAGCCTGGCCTGGTACTCCAGCATCAGCTTCTGTGTTGTCTCCTCCTGGCACTTGAAGCGAGTCTCATACTCCTCCAGCTTCTTGTTGGAGATGCGAAGTTTGTCCTGCAGCACCACTAGGTCCTGCTGGTACTACAGCACGCAAGGACAGACACAGGAGGAGAAAACACATGTGGCATGTTACCTAGTAGGGCTTTGCCCTTGCCAGGGTTTCCCCATAACCCAGTTACGCCCCTCTCCTTGCATTAGACTAGCTGCAAACCCGTGTCAGATAGATAACCCCGCTTGCCGACACCTCCTCTTCAGTCTTCTCCACGCTGCGCTAGGAGCGATGCTGCGTTCCACTGGGCAGGCAGGTCACTGGCAGGTTCAGAGAACGGGTTGTTAGCAGAGTCTGGCATTTCACATGGGGAATGCAGGTTAGAGCGAGTGAATGGCAAACGCATCTGGCACCTTCCTCACACTAACAGCGCAGGGCTAACACAGGCAGGAGAAGCTGCACTAGTGGGATTTTGGGTTTACACCTGAGCTCTTCAGTCTACAACAATAAACAGGGGTGGTTTGGCGCTGCTGGACGCCAAGCAGGAGCCGTTAGTGCTGCCTGCCTCCTGCCAGGCTGCAGGCTCCCCCC